CTGAGGGCGAAGTCGTGTTGTTAGTCTTAATGTACAGAAGTGTGACGGCAGTTTGGTGTTTTCCCTAAACAATTGGGACTGACAGCGACGCTGCCTTTTCTAAACGGAAAGTGGGATAAATTGATTCGCCTCACCTTGACCCACAGATTTCTGCTGACAGCGGCAAGGTCTAGAAAATACAGTGCTAAGGCTATTCACAAAAGAGACTATGTGTGACTGACATATAGTAGTCGTCTCTTATGGGTTAATATCATGCTCCTACTTCAAGACCACTGGGTTTTTTTAATCCTATCAAAAGAGCATCTTCCCGTGGTATGGGCGGCTGGGAAGTGGCAATCACCATAATTTATCTAACAGTACTCGATATTACCTTGACTGCATATTAACTATTTACACGGCCCTTACAACTAAGATCTAAGTGCTGTTTAGTTTTTTTTTGTTTCCTGTTGAAAATGAAGGTACTAAAATATTAGATCTTCAAGGTCATTTGAAATATGTCCTTGTCCTGTAAAGTAATATGAAGTAAAGGTGAAAAGTACATTATTTCGGTGAAGTAGATATGAACAAATTATTATACTACTGTTTTCCTACCATAACTGTTTGCTGGAAAAGCCCTGTTGTCTCATAAATTAGCTATTCACTAATATCTATTTGGCTTCCCGCTTTATTGTTACTTGTCTGATGTAACAAGAGATAACTAAAGGTCAATAACCCTCCTCCACTTTCATCACACCCATCAAATTGAACTACTGTATATCATCAAGACACTGTTAAGACTTTATGGACACTTTTATCTCAATAGAGATACTGTTCCAAGGATTAATAGCTTGCTTGTAAATTATTTTACGATAAATGAGTACAAGCCTATGTGCTTGGCTTTGGGCTACATATTTTTAGTGTGAGGACTAGTAACACTATCTGGCCTTTTCAAGTCGAAATAGGCGAAAGGAGGATTAAAATATAGTAATAATAATAACAATAATAATAATATAAAATTGTCAAACCACTAGACTATCACACCATTAAACACTACTTGATGTCAGCAACTTTTTTAATTATCGATATGGGGTGTGCAGATTGTTAAGTTTTTGATTGAGATCATGAATTGATCGATGTTAGACCACCATTGAAAACATGGAAGCACTGGATGGCCGTTTAGTCGTAGTATAGTACTCCTCAGCAGGGCGCATCCACGATCCCGCATGCGGGATTCGAACCCAGGTAGAGACAGGTATCTACCTCTGATAATGGAAGGTGGTCGCGCGACACCGTCAATTAGTTAAAGTAAGACACCAACACTGTTGGATGCGGACTCAGTGGCCTGGCGGTTAAGCGTCCGCGCACAAGATCCTGGGTTCAAATTCCATGCGCGGAGTCGTGGATGCGCACTGCTGGTGAGCTCCATACTAGGACGAAACGGTCTTTCAGTTCTTCCAGGTTTTCAAAGGTGTTCTGACATCGATCGATTCATAATCTCAATCAAAAACGTGTTAATGCTGTGAAATTCTCTAAATTTATTTTGTACGGCTTAAAACTTAATGAAGTTAAAAAAAGAACATGTCAATTTCATTGCAGGCACATTTACATCATTATACAACTGTCGACGGTTTTGATACTAGCATGTTTGAATCAAGCACTAATTCACTTCAGGAATTAATAACTCAATATACGGATTTTGAAAAACAGTCTAATGCACAAGCACTACCAAATTTACCACAGTTAGAGATTATGGATTGAATTTATTCCCAATTGTAAATACATTTTTTAGAACTATTTCTTGCAGAAAGTACTTTATTGCATTTATTAGTTTTTATATTATTCTTGTATACTTAAAGCTTGTATAATTTGTGATGATTATTCTTGTAAATGTGACCTCCATGTTTTGAACTTCTTCGTTACGTCTTAAGACGATAATATAATTTCATCTTAGTACAAAAAAGCTATTAGGTTTAAATGTACTTCAGTTATGGTTTTCACGTCATAACAAGTGTTTTATTATTTATTTTCTATTATTATCAGCTTTATTCAATATTATATTTTTTGGTACAATATAGAATTCTCAGCGTAAAGTATTTCAACAAGTTTCGTTTCTTTCTTCTTGGTCGGTCCTGGCGATAAATATTGAGTGATCTCCAGTTAGATGTTAGCAGTTCACTAAATGAACATCTGAATAATGTACATTCTTTCCGTTGTATATTGCCAGCAACCACGTTGTCTCTTATTGAGTTTTTTGTATCTTTGACAACGAAAGGTTGTACACTTTTCAGAAACGCAGCAGAATAGGTTATGCGATTATTAAACATAGTGATATATTAAAAGAAACAAAAATAGATAACTTGTTGAAATATCTAGATGGCAGGAACAGGTAGCCCAGATGATCAAGCAGGCCGCCCTTGCCCTAGTAGTGATATGCTGCTTGTAGCAAACAATAAAGTTATTGACTTCTTGTTATTAGTTCCACTTGTCGAAATGACTACAGATAGAAACTTACATTTCACACTATTTCATCTACCAAAAAATATTATTTTATATATGGCATAACTCCGCCTATTAGCTCTTCTAGAGGTACTGCCGGTCGCAAGCCCGGGCAAAGGAGTAGGGTTGGGCATGGGGTCGGCAACCCCATTTCGTAGAATACAACCTTACTAAAAAACTGCCAACCAGATTAAACCATTTAAACTGTGTCCTGTGAGTTTGAAGGAAGAATTATAATGCCTCACGATGAAAGCCGAGATTCATGAGGCCGATGAACCTTCCTACAACTAGAGCTACAATCAATATAGGTACATGGAGCGTGCAGACAATGTGACAGGCCGAGAAGAACAGTCAAATAGCAACAGAAATGAGGAGATACAACTTGGCCGTACTCGGAATCAGTACTCGAAACCGATTGGACCCAAGTTGGACAGCAAAGACTAGATACCAGGGAGATGCTGCTGTACTCTGTCCACTATTAAGAAAATGCTCCACACACCCAGGGAGTCGCTCTGCTGTCCAAAGAAGCACGTAAAGCACTTGTGGGATGGAAATCTCATGGGCCCAGGATCACCAAAGCGTCTTTTAAAACAATAAAGAGAATTACAATGAACGTTGTCCAGTGTTATTTACCCACAAGTGATAGCAATGACGACGACAAAAACCAGTTCTATGAGAGGCTGCAATCGATCATAGCGAAGTACTCACGAAAGTACTTGGCCATCCTGATGAGAGATCTATATTTCCACACAAACGCATGAACAAAGCTACATGGATGTCATCGGACCAAACCACGTAGAACCAGATGGAACATGTTGGGATCAGTAAAAAATCCAGAAGGATAATGGAAGACGTCAGAACCAGGAGAGGAGCTGGCATAGCCTCAAATCACCACTTAGTTGTGGCCAAGATGAAACTGGAGTTAAAGAAGCAATCGACAACTGGACAAACAGGATTACAAAAATTCAGTTCAACCTTCCTACGAGCCACTAACAAACTTGACGAATTCAAGATAACTCTCAACATCAGGTTTCAAGCTTTACATACTCTACGGAAAGAAGAAGAAACTACTATGGAGGACAACTGCAAAGGGATAAAAGTAGCATTAACTCCAATGTGTCAGGGGGTACTGGGCCGCAAGGAGCATCATAATAAGGAATGGATCTTTATCGAAACCCTGGACAAGATTCAAGGAAGAAAGAACAAGAAGACAATAATTAACAACAGTCGAACAAGATCACAGTAAGTCAAGCCACGTGCTGAATATAAATAAGCAAACAAGCAAGTGAACAGGAGCATTAGTGTCGACAAGCAGAAATACGTGGAAGACCTAGCAACGACAGCGAATAGGCTTCAAGAGAAGGAGATCGTCAACATCATTTGGAATTCATACAACGGACTACACTTCAGAGTAGTGCATGGAGGACAGCTGACTGATGCACTTCAGGTAAAGACCAGAGTCAGATATGGCTGCTTACTCTCCCCCTATCTCTTTCTTCTGGTGGTCGACTGGATTGTGAAGACCTCGACATCTGAGAGGAAACACGGAATACAATGGACAGCTCGGAATTAATTAGATTTTGGACTTTCGCAGATGACCTGACTCTTCTATCCCATACACACGAACAAGTGCAGATGAAGACAACTAGTGTGTAGTAAACAAAACAAGAGCGGGGACAATCGGGTGTATTTGACACTAAATCACAGAGCATCTCACTAAAATCTGAAAACCACATAGTAAATACTTCATTTGCAAAATATCAATCCATCATATCAAACTTGACTGTTCCTGTTGCAAACATCCATCCATTGTCTCAGATTTCATTGTTCATGAGTTTTCATACGAATTGCGTTTCATTCCCGTTCTTCCCTTATCGACCTTCTACTTAAATACATTCTATGCCTGACACCGTTATATACTACTTATGTGGATATAAGTAACCCACACCACAAGTGTAGCAACAGTCTCCGCATCGGACAGAGGGAGAAGCAAGATCCTCAAATAGAATACGGAAAGCACCAATCCAACTTCCTTGATTATGAAAAAGCATTGTGCAGTGCGGATAGGAGCACTTTATGAAAACTTCTTCGACACTATTATTTACCTGAGAAAATCGTTCTCCATGAGGAGTAACAGGCGTAAACAAATTCATGTAGCACACGACAATCTCATGCAGTTCCATGTAGGGACTTTCAACACGATAGCATAGTTAGCTTACTTGAATGAACAGCTGACCCTTTTCTATTCATTGAAATCCATCCCATATTGTGAGAGATTACGGATATCCATCATCGTTAAGATAATCAAATGGACTTTGAAATAATAGCATTCGAATAACGTTTCATTTTGTGGATAAAACACAGTACTGGACGGCCGTTTTGTCCTAGTGTGGGACTCCTCAGCAGTGCGCATCCACGATCCCGCACCCCGCGGGATTCTAACCCAGGACCAACTGACTCATGATTTCAATCTATGGAATTTTCTAAAATCTCCACAAACCCATTCTGATAAAAACACAGTAAATGAAAATAACTCATAATTAAGAAAAGTACGCATTTCTAAAATAACTATAAACAGGAAAAAGCATCTATGAGATATAAATAATATTTAAGGCAGCATGCGGTGGGCTTTAATTGATAAATTCGGTAAAAATACTAACAAATAAAAGTTTTCATAAAATAAATCAACATGCATAAAAACCAGTAAATAATTGTTTAAAGTAAAAATTGGAAATGCGTATGTCTGACTTGTTCATTGTTATTTTAACGACTATTTCTTCTCATTACTTCGGAATTTTCTGCACAAGTCCATGCTCTTTCAAACGTTCTAAAGCTTTTTTAGAACATTCTCTTGTGCTCTCACGATCTTTTTGTTCTAATTCCCGAATACGTCCATCACTGCACCCGGGATACAAAGGTTTAATATCCGGTAGCACTTGATCCGCCGGATCGATATCTGGCAATAGACTCAATGATAATAGAACTTCAAACATATTTGATTTGCAAAAGTATTCACCAAGAGATCGTTCACCATGTAGAACAAAGTTTTGCAAGATATGAGCGGCTCGATGTTGTAACGCGCATGAAAAGTGCCCAGCTAGTGTTTGAATAATCTCAAACCATGAGGAGACCTAGTTATTTAAAGAAAAATAATGGACCGAAATAGTTTACAAGAATTAATTTTGTTAAAATTATTACACCTAGTGTTTTGTATTGACTTAATTGTTTTCAATGTTGAGATTGTTTGGACGCATTAATATTTGTCGACAACTTACTCGGATTTATATATGATGAAACTATGGACTATCAATAAAGTGCTGAAATAATTTATAGTCAAATTTTCAAATTATTCATGATTTCTGAGTCTGAATGCGGTCGATCTAAGACTGTTAGGTGTTTCTGTTATGTAGGCAACTTATTAATCGCATTTACCTTTCTTGATCACTTGTGGTTAAAGCATTTGGCTTTTCGCCATTACATGACACGTTCGAACCCCGCTTCACCTACTTTAGTTTAGGCAACTGAGTAGTATTATTAGCTCTCATATTTAGGGCATGATTCGCACCTGGCACATAAGTATATTATATACACATTATATATAGAGATGTTTGAACCAACTTCAAATAAAATTATTTGAAAAAATTTGGGCGTTGAGTAAATGGTGATCGTTATTATTACAAATTTTTACTCTTCAATAAGTGAAAATTTAAAAAATTGTTTTTATTAACTTTTCGCTATTTTAAGCTAATAACGTTAGCAAAGTAATGGCATATAACAGATTTTCAATAATGATGTATATATGTTTAATAAATTCTGAAGGAACCTACTGAAATCACTTCACCTGGAAGACGATCATGATAACATAAAATTATATCCGCTCTCCTTCTTATATTACTATTTTTACAGTAAGTAGTTTTGTAGGAGATGGAATGTAACTTGTAATGAAATTCAGGACGAGCGTTTCGTCCTATTTCGGACTCATCAGCTGAATGTGCCTGCTACATCCCTGAGTTGCTGTTGACCTCGGGACTGAAATCAAGTACTGTTTGCTTCAAACACCGTCGCTTTGTCCACTTAGCTACTGAGTCCAGTTAGCGATCCATTTATACAATGAGTATAAGTTTTCATTTAATTTAAAATGGTTTAGATTATCCCGTTAATGATATTTGTCACTGGAATTCGATCGACTGACGAGTGCCAAATTAGATTAAACGCGTGTCCTGGATTCCACTGCTAGTCACATTATATCTATTTTAAAATAACTTATCGCAATGGTCACATCGAGACAATCCGCAAACAATACACATATCCCAATCAAGACTGATCGAATTCTAGTCGGAAATATCAACAACGAGATAATCCAATCCATTTCAAATTAAAGTAGTTGTGCTTGTAAGTCTATAGAAACTATATTTGTTGCAATGGAATAATATAATTGATACAAAAACATCTTAAAAATTTATCCACAAATAAAACATGGTTAGTTCGCAATTTGTTTTCGCGAATTGGAAACTTTTTCGTTTTGTCAAACTCACATTAGTAATTTTCCGTATAATTCCTGGATCATATGACATACTGGCCAAAGCTCCAGAAGCTGCACGTACAAGAAGCAAATCATCTAATTCTCCACAATATAAAACTAGCAATTTTACACGTTCTGTAGGACATGTAAGATATGATAATTTCTTAGCTAAATCTGTATCATCCAAAGGAATAGTACCACCGGAAGATATAACAAAGCCATGAGATTGAGCTAAATTAGCTACACATTCTGTTGCAGCTCTCCTGATCATTGGATGATCTTCAAAAAGACAATGATCAATTAACGGTAATCCATGTTCTGCCATGATACGATAACTGAGAAATAAACAAGAAACGATAGGAAATCATTGAAAAAGTGAATATCAATTAACTGTACAAAATATTTCCGTTGAAAATGTCTTTCACATTGTGGAAATTAATTAAAAAGACAATTCGACCCTTCACTTTTGTATTTCAGTAACCCTGAAAACAAATTGAATAGTAACAAACAGTATATTCTGTTTCCATATTATACAAAAACAAAGATTTATTTACCGACATAGGAAGTGGTATCGTGAATGTTCACCGCCTAGAAGTCTTATTGTCGTTTAATGCCCTATGATTTTTTAGAATGTATTCCTAATAGATAAATTTAGCCTAAGAATACTTGTAATAACTAATTTGGTAAATCCCATCGAAAAAATATCCTGAATATCACTATGTTTTGCACTCCAAGGCTTACTGTTTGTGTTTTGTATCCAATTAATGGTTGACTGAATTAAGAATACAGCAACCATAATAATTACTTATGCACCAATCCGATAGCTACCAAAAATTTCGAACTATTAACGTATATTAACTTAGTGTTTAATGTGTGAGTTAATAAGGTTAACGTATTTGCTTTTTTTCGAATTTCGATATCTAACCTTCCTTTATTCATATCTTCGTGCAAGAATTTGATGTTTTTCTGAGCATAGGATAACACAAAATAACTTAAATTATTATCCGATCCGGTAAGTTAAGCCTAACAATAATTCTATACTATACAGGTGGTTTGTGGAGATTGTTGAATTTCATAGCTAGTACCACGGACCGCTCTTAGTTAATTATGAAATTCAACAGTCTCCACAAACCCCATATATAATAATAATCACATGCTCCCAAGTGTCCAATTTGGAGAGGTAATTCCAGGAGTTTTAGTTAGAAAGCCGTGTCCAGTGGAGTTCGACTATTTCAATTGTGAGACAGTTACCCGCCAGTGACATTGAAAGACGGTCCATCAATATCACGAATTGATTGAAGTTAGACGCGTAAGCTATCGGATGCGAACTCAGTAGTCTAAAGATTGAACGCTCACCATAAAACCTAAAAGCTCAGGGTTAGATTGGCAGAAGAGTAATGAGTGCAAACTGCTGAGTTGAATACTATGATGAAACAGCTGTCCAGTGCTTTCTGATTTCCAGTGGTTGTTTAACTAAAATCAGCCTGTGATGGTGATTATAGAAAGGTACCAATATATCCCTGCTTTATTACAAATAAATAACCATGAATAATGTCAAGTGTGTGGAAACCAGCTAGCATAATATATTAACAGTTCCATTACTTACCGATGTGTATCTCCCAATGAAGCTAAATTTGTCAAAGCCAATAGACCTTCAAAATTTTGTAATGCATTACAATCTGCATGAATTAAATGAAGCAGTGGGCGAACAAGTTCCAATGACTGGGAACAATATACAAAATGGAACGAAGAAACAACAAACATGAATCTCTTTAAGATTACACGTAACTTTTATGCTACTCAAATGAATCGTAGTGAGATACAATATTCAAATATAGAAACATGTATTGTGTGATCGAATATAGTCAATAGGAAACCCTGCTTAACCCGGGTTTCGTGCTAGTTAGTAGTTGTCAGAAAGATGTACCGGCAATCTTGAGAGAATCAATATTCCCCATGTAAGGTTAACAGTGTATCACCCAATTTCAAGGTATGAGAAGTCATCATTGAGAATTCGGAGCTCAAAAACGCGTTTAAGTTTGAGTATGGTTAGGCGTATGTATATGAGACGTTAAAATTGATATCTGTGGATTTAAACATAATAAGCTTTATCGGATACATATTTTAGTTATGACAATTATTCTTTAAAAATAATCTAATTATCCAGTAGAACATCTCATTGCTATACTAGGTGAGTTATTTTCGGTAAAGACAGTATACCGCTTCTACCTTGTAGATAATTGGATAGAATAATCGTTAATACACTAATTCCAACTAATTAAAATTTAAACTTCAATCAATTCAATAAACGTAGTTTCTAACTTTAGAAAATAAACATGATTAAGTAATATAACCAAAGTTTTAAGAATTCCCATATTGTGTATTAAAACAACATATGTAAGTAAACAAAATTGTTTTCGATTAGATCTTCATTAGGCTTTACTCTAATATACAGTAATATTTATATGCGTGTCCGAAATTATTAAACCAATCACAGCAGTTAGTCTTAGCGATAACAGTCGAATACATTACATAAATAAACATAGTAAGCGAAAAGTATAAATTGATAGTGTGATGACAGGTGTATTAGTGATAAGAATAATAAAGGCTTGAAACCATGTTTCATAATGGGAAATAGGTCAATGACTTGAAAAATATTGATGCTGAAATCGAAACCGTAAGATATACGTAATGAGAAGTGTTCAGATAATTGGGCAATGAAGCAATGATTTGCAAAAAGGGGGAGTGACGAGTATTAAACGAACTAAGAGTATGGAAAACGATAAAATCGTTTATCAAGGCTAATTCGGCTGAAGAAGAGAGAAAGGTGTTAGGACTATTTTGTGAATACAAAGACTTGAGGATCTAATTGAAAACAATATTGTTAGGTTATATATGTTATTCTAATTAAACAATTAACAATCACTTCATACCTTTTGTCCTGGAAATGTTACACGTGGATCTGCAGTGATAGTTAAACGAGCGAGAGCTTGAGAAGCTAACGTTTTACCTGTATCGGTATTCAAAGCACTCTTTGATAATTTAAGAAGAGCTTTCCCAGAACCACCTTGTACAAGTTTACCACGACATTCAACTAATTCGGAACAGGCTAAATAAATGCTTTAAATGAAAAGGTAACAAGTGATTAGTGTCAAAAGAAAGAGACACAGTAAGGTTATTGTTATATTCTTATGGCCTGGTTTATGTATTACGTGACACGACCGCCAATTAGAGACACCGACTTATACAACCAAACTAATGACGTATAAGCCTATATGAACAACCTAGAGTTCTTACTAGTCCTCCAAAACAGTAGCTTTTTTCCTAATCCAGCCCGTTTAGTCCAGAACGCTAATATCAGCCTCCGCGATACGAATTATATATTTCACACATACGTGGTTTATATATAAACAAACCAGACTGCATCATACCATGAAATAGAAAATAACAATTATACAAGATCAGGTCAAAAAGTGGCTGTGATTGTGAGAGACTCTAACTAATAAATTAGGAATATCTTAAGAATAGCAAACCGTAAAATAATAGTCAATAGGTCAAATAAAAGGAATATGAATGTACATATAATATTACTTAATAGTTATAAGACAAGAATAATCCACAAATCGATCCTAGCAATTACTGTTCACCTATTCTTCGTCCGAATATAACAGCTATAGATGAATTTTTTCAAAAATATGCTGGCTTGATAGTTAATATCTGATGGTCAAAATATAGGACGGAAAATTTTCTGACTGGTTTAAGAGATTGGAACAATAATAAAATTGACCTGATCATCAGTTACCTAAACTCTAGATAATGAAAATAAACTGAGACGACTTAATAAACAAAGCGAAGTTACAGAAGCCACTAGCTTTTTACTTAATATGTCGGCAAAAACTTTATACTGTTAATTACACGGAGAATGATTGGAAATCCGTTTTACTGACAGATCATTTTGTATGAGAAATTTCACGATTAACTACAAAACATAGGTATCCGTGAGTCAATTAATTAGCTTACTTTGTGATTGCTTATAATAGTATGATAAAATTTTATATATTTATGATGTGTTGTGTAAAAACCAGACATGTACATGATGCCTGAATATTGCATAGTAAGATTCATGAATGGATAATCTATTTTGAGTGAGCAAATTATTTACTTATAACTAATATCATCTTCTACATATCGTTATTTTGATCAGTTAAATCACTGAAAAATATCCATGTGAGTTGTAAGCATTATTATACGGCTTTAGATACGCAAGCTATGAATGTGATTTTTCTGTTCTCCCTTTAAGTAGATGGGTTGGTCAAACATTGAAAACGCGTAGAGTAATTAAACCAGACAACAGACAATAAAACTTTGCTTTAGTATCAACGAAAGGCTTAAGGGATATAGATAAAATAATTATGATAAATGCAATAATAATAAGTGATAATAGGCAAAGGATTATTCGGACTTCCCATACGAAGAATTCTGCGGTCAGTAAGGTAGGAAAAGATGCAGACAAGGGAAAATAATAATATCTATTGAAGTGAAGGTTTAAAAAAAAGTTTAAAAGGGACGAATGAGAAGTACTGGGTAATAATATGCTTAAGATCTATAGAAAAATAAAGAATGAATACGAATGCGCCAATACGACCAATTCCAGGGCATGGTGTCCAACGTCTCTAACTATGACTATTTCGCAATTTGCAATAGGGATTTTAAATCGCCGAAAAATACTCAAACAGAGACGGTTGGAAGAAAGTTAGGGACGGCCAAACCAAAACGTGGTACCAGTCCTTGAAGACGCTAATTTCTGGTCTGAGCCATGTTGGTAGATGCAGACTACTTGGTTGGGGTCCGCGTGACTATCGTAACCAATGGTTGGGAGACTCTGGGTGACATGGCTCAGAATCCATCACAATGGCGTAGGAGTATACACTCTCTGTCTTCTCTTAAACTAAGAGATTAAAATCGCTTCATATCTTTCTTTCTACGTACGAAATCTTTCTTAATGTACTATATCCTTATATGCAATCTTTCTTTTATACGTTACTACCTTTGAAGTGACTACTTCTATTAAATTGTTGTTTATCTTATTGTGCTAATGAGGTATGGCGACCTGTACTGATGTATATATGTGCCTGGTCCTACGTTGTAGCTGACTGACTTCATCAGGATCTTTTAGTCACTTTTCAATCTACGCATTTGTTAGCCATCAAAAATGCATCAGCGTAGTTACTGGTTAAACACACTTAGTACATGTCTCAACTACCAACGTCCATGAATATTTACAACCCAAAAAGTCAAGTCAGTCGTTCTGTCATTCATTTTTGAAGTGAAAATAGATTAATTTTATTACATTCCAGAAGTAAATTTTCCGTAAAAATTCAAACCCTTCAAATATCTTAAAATTGAGGAGCACTGATAGTTGTAGACAACAATCATGTTCAGGTACACAAAACCATCGAAATTTTAAATGTAATGTGAAGAACAAAAACAAAGTATTTTCAGATGTTAGTTTACTGAGAACTTATCAACAAAATGTTTAGGATAGATTTATCACGAGTTAATATTAGCTGAAAAATTGTTCAAGCATCAAGTAACTTTTGTAAACTCAATCGGAAAGCTATTATCAACGTATGGTCTGACACAAATGTACATTAGCCCATGTTCCTATAACACAAGCAGAAAAAAGTTAAATCGAGGAAATAAATTTCAAGAGTCGAAATAGTAGTAATATTAAGGACCAGTGATCGATATTTTTTATAGCTGTGATAAGATTATAGTAGTCCTAAATATTATAATGAATAATTCAAATATTACAATATAGGTAAGGAAATAGAGTTATTAAAATGTATGATAGATATCCTTAAAATTTAAATTCTATACTAGGAATAAACGAAGTTTTGCCTAGAGCAGCCATGAGTCTAAACTATAGAGGATCATTTCAATATAATGAAACACGAGATTTTATATATATACGTATATGTACAGCTGTCTTAAAAAAGAGGAAACATCCAACATTTCATGAACTAACTAACTTACCGAGAAATTAGTTCGAACAAACCCTGATTTGTTCCGACCAAAGCAGTAGCTATACGCATTGTCAACTGATATAATGAAGAAGCTAAACCCATATTGATTAATTTTTGACGACGTTCTTGAATATATGCATCTGAATCGTATGGATGATCTTCTGGAATATGTTGTTTAGAAAATTTCGCTAATTCAAGGATTTCCGGTTCAATTTGTTGACGTTCAAAACTATTCGTTAAATGAGCTAAAACACTGCATAAAGCAAATGATGAGTCTTTTTGACAATGCTAAAAATGATTTTGAAAAGAATTTAAAGGAGCAGTGTGAATAGAAAGTTTACATAGGATCAAATGATGATGCTGTCAAAAAACTAGTCATCGTTCCTCTAAAATTATCTAACTGGATTTCAGAAATCTTAGTTTTTGAAATTTGAGTTTATTGGAAAATATCCCCGCCCCAAAGACTTTATATATTGTTTTCCAGTTATCTTTGAAAATTGAATCAGCTACAGATTAAAAAAACATTCTTCAACCATCGTTATGTATACGTATATTATAATAAAAATGATTTATTGATTAATTAAGTTGTTTGTGCAGCTTTGTTCTAACTCAAGATAGCTTTTATTGTGAACTGAAGACCAGATAGTATTAAAAATATATTTGTTTGTAGTCTGGGATTTCTCAGCAGTCCGTATCCACTGTCATACACGAAAAATAATTCAGAATATCTAAATTTTACAGGGCGATTGACTATATTCATCCACTAAGTTGTAATGTTATGACTGAAATCTTTGTCAAAAAAATAGGATACATTTTCAAGGATTAATAAAATATAAACAAACCGATTGTTGAACAGTGGGTGAGCAATATACATCTCGATTTTTAAGCAGGAAACCGTGCCCCGTATCATCAATAATCGTAGATGTTTTAAACAACGTTGATCGATAGTTACAGTGAATTTAGAATGACTGAATTGAGCAACTGTGATCATCGTATTCCAATTTGATAGGATGAAGAGTACCGTGCTTATTACGAGAGCTGAACTTTTTTCCAGATTCAATAATCATAATCTGGAACAATCAGACATATCAGTTCAAGGCCAAGCGACAAATGTTGGCAACTGAATACTATTGACCAAGGCTCAACTTAATTTCCTGAGGGGAATAGACAAATACCAATGGCGAAAAACTGATTCAAGTTTTTGAGAGGTACATCTATATTGATGAGTGAGTTTGTATTTATACGCAGATTCGGGTTAGCCAATAATAATTTCTTACTCACTCTTAGTTTTCTCACTCAAGTAGCTGGTCGAGTTTGCGCATAGGAAGCGTAAACTCCGGTCGTAGAATTGAACGACCGCCTAACACAAAAAGTACCCCGTAATTTTGTAGGTGCAGAAAGTTTCTTTAACTACGCATTATGCATCCAACAAAGGGAATAAATTGTCAAGTTATGTTGCACGATATATTGATTTATAAAAAAAACTTGGGGATATCAGTAGTATATTTGAACGTCGTTTTGCAAAAAACACTTACTGAACAGAGTAAAATATCAATGAACTCAAAATCGTCACGAAAACTATACATGAAGTCACAAATCTGGTTTTCCTTTTATTACAGAACTAAACTGTTGTTTCTGTACCCGTGAGTTTTGAATTTAACGTTGTTCATGAATGGTCAATTAGAGGTTAAGACAACAAACAATTACCTTTATCAAGTGTAATGTTTTCTTCACAGTCCCAATCACTAATTTTCACATGACTACAAAAGAGTCCAGTTATCTACGAATGAGAATCTAACAAGATTATCTGATATGATGGATCAAGAATTAAACCTAGTATTTAGGCATTAATCCCATTGGAGAGTTAGTAACCTATAATTAGTTGTTTTATCTTCCAGTCGCTTATTTATTGAATGATATCTAATCATATTTATTTTTGTGTTTATTATTTTCATTTAAGCGAGTTATTTTGTTGGAAGATATATTATCTTCATCTGGATAATGGTATTGTCTTATAATATCAGTTCATTCAAGAATTTCAGTTAATAATTCTGTCCCATCACTAAGCCAATTTGCATTGGCAAATGCTAGTGGAACATCGTTATTATCGTATGACAAAGGAAAACCATGTATATTGAATCCATTTATAGTGAAAAAAACGCAATGAAAACTACAAAAATCTTCAAAATAACAGGTGAAAATATAACATACTTCAGCAAAACGTAATAAAGCTGACACTAAATGACCATCGTTAATTATTTCCTCTTTAACATCTGCATTCATTGTTATATAAGCCATACCTTCAACAGCCCAATGAGCAGAATCTAAATCATCGAAATGAATAGTACTAGCGGTAGAACCATTTACAGGTTTGTTATCCTTTTTTTTCTCCACTGGTTGACTAGCTGATACGTCTTCAATTCGAATTTCATCATCATCGTCATCATTCTCATCTACAACAACTTCTCCTTCAGAATTAAAATGAACATCGGCTGATTTATTTGCAGAAATATCATCTACATCAGGATCTGGTTGTCGTTTACCCAATAATAGCCGACGACATGCTTTGAGAAGAAGTAGATTAGAGCCTTCTGTAAGACTTTTCACACTAGCATCTGTACCACCAGCGGCACCAAGTTTACATAAAGCCTAAAATAATAATATGTAACCAGTATTAAAATCTGAAGTCCTGACTATAGTATTACTTTGGCCATGCTTCAATAAAAATATGTCTATTTGTCTACTGTCCAGTTTGTCTAAGTAATCAACGCTAGCAGATGAATCTAGCTACTGGAAGTTTTTGTTGTGAATTCTACACATATTGTAGTATTTTTACTACTCTGTTTTTGTTATTGGAATCACTAGATTAAATATTGTTGGACTACAATTGTTGTTCCGATTTAAGAAAAGTTGAGTGAAGTATTTTAGTCACGAAATACTTAACAGTAGAGAACCAGTTAACTAAAAAGAAATCATAGATTTCTCAATAAGAACACATCAACACGGATTGTGACTACGATTTTTTGAATAAGACTGTAAAAATGCAGTTCATCTAGATAAGCAATTAAATAGTTGGACATGAGGTAAATGAGAAAATGTGAAAAATATCCCATATTTTCACGTTACATATTTATCAGTGTATGGAAATTAGATCCATCAAAAGTGAAAACCAACTGGTAAACAAAGAAGATTGGTTTAACAAAGACTTTTACTTCCAAGTGAAATTATTCTTATGGTTGTATAATAATTAACTCAATTATTGAACAACTTATCGATACAGATTATTTGATCAAAACAATCACATTCACCTAAGTCAAGGTGAAAAGAAAGCTACGCGAACTAGTGAGATTTTGTCTTTGCTTCATTCATGAAGCTTTTACCAGAATTATGCATACAAAAAAACTACCGTAGTCGTAACCCTCAGTTTCCCACAGACAGCCTTTCTCCCCGTTTCTCATATATTCTTTTGACCTTGCCTCTATCCCCTCCCAACTGACTGATTTATTTTTCTATGCCTTTTTGAATCTATTTCACATAAATTTCAAAATTTGACTTGTTGCATTACCCAATCTATTCTAACGGTTGATAATATTTTATGACATTTTTGATAAATATTCAACCTCTTAAGAAGTACACTTTTCATCCTTTTATAGCTAATTACGTCGTACTATCCCATTAGTTTTTTTCACTATATTATTGCTATTATCAACAAACATATTTAATTATCAAAATGTAAAAGCAATATACATTCGCAATTGTACAGCTATGATAATGAATTCGTAGAAAAGAGTACATTCTTGAATTAGTTTATTCTTGTTATTTCAATGGGTGTTTTTGATTTGTTTAAGAATCATCAAAAACTTGTAACAAATAACCTATAAATTAAACTAATTTACACAAAATTTTTAAAAAAAAAACTATAATAGTAAACTCATTAATAACTTCAAGATGTTTTGTAATTTATAGAGAGATGGCATGATTGTTGAAGTTCAAGTATGTAAAAAGTGGTACAGTTTATTACTAACGGCATTGTATGATCGTTAGGCTGTTTCGTGAATTGATCGAAGTGGGGATTGTACCACCGAACCCCAAGCCGATAGTTTTAGTGATGAAGGGTTCACCATGAGATATGAAGCTCATGGGTTCGATTCCCGGCGAGGTCGTAGGCGTTCACCGCCAGTCTCACACCAAAACGGAAGTTTTCTAGTGCTCTCTGGGTTTTAATGGCACCCCAATTGATGATCAATCTGTGATGAATACAATTTAAAAAATAAACTAATCTCCACAAAATACCTTCAACGAAAGAACCTATTTGTAAAAATAAAATGTTAAAATTGTTTGTAAAAATAACTTACAACAAGTGCTCGAATTCTAGTACCATCATTTTCACTTTTATACAATGATTGTAATAAAGGAACAGCTTTAGATATTATATTTAAACATTGTTGTTTCTTATGTGTGGCAATTACAATTGTATCTAATGCAACTGTCTAGAACGTAATGCATAAATACATAAAAACTCGTTACAAAAAGATTAAATAGAGGAAACAAGCATGAAAAAAGGTGATAATTCAATGAGAGAGATACGAGCATGATTACAAATTGGATGAAAAGGTGATAGCATCCTTTATATTTATTCAGTACAAATATCGTATTTAAAAAATGTAGTTTGACGTATCCTTCGGCTTAAAATCTACATTTAATAGTAATTAAAATTAATTATGGATAGATTAACAAGAAGAGACATAAATTTTCATTTACACATATGAGTACGATCATGAATTTACCCTGTTCATCAAGTAATTACTTTGGCATTCTGTGAACAAGACATTGTAAAACCAGTTGAATAGACTAAATTAGTTAAATAAGCATATGTCAAACACAATTCATCATTTAGTCATAAGGTTTAGATAGACAAAAACATTAGACTGAATATTTGAGGGAAATTAAACGATAATACCTTCCACTAACTAAAAGCAATATGATCTCAATCAGAAGACATAAACTTATAAGTCTATAGGAAAATAGACTAGTTATGAATTTGATCTGAATGCTAGTAACAAACTTAGGACTAAACTGCTTCAATAAAGCTTCATAAGTTTGGATCATCAGATCTAGATTAAGTAAAACTATCAAGCTACTATTTGGTTGATGTAAGCTTTTATCCACCATGTTAAATCTGAGCGAAGATTAAATCACGAGTAACTTCTGAGACATATTAATTGACTAATGTTATCTATATATTCTTATGGTATAACTATTCAACAATTAGATTATGTATATTTATATTGCTCTTATTATAAGCTTTATTTTGACCTATCATTTATTATTGTACGATTTACGGTTCTTAAGCTATGTTCAGTTTATTAACTACTGCCTCCACGTTCACAGCCACATTTGGCCAAATATTGTACAAATGTTATTTTCTATTTTATGATACGTCTTGGTCTGTCTGGTTGATAGATAAACCGAGTATGTTTGAAATAAATGATTCATATTGCAGAAGCTGGTATTGTTGTTCTGAACTCAAGTGAACGGGCTAGGCGGACATAGGACCAATAAGGACGCTAGGCTGCTCATACTGGACGAACGTCACTGGTTCTGTCACAGTGCTAAGATTGTATAAGTCGTATTTTGATTGTTGGATAAATCACATGATAAAAAGCCGGACATAAGGTCATAACACGCCAAGTCATAGTAAACTGGTCATTTTACTTTAGTCTGTTCTGAGTACTGATTGCTGACACTGGGGCTTTATCATCTTGAATGTTCGTGAAGTAAGCTAACTATGACTTACTGTGTAATCACTTATTTACATACATTAAAATAAGTAGATTCCGAGAAGCCAAGATACTGCTTCGATCTCGGCTGCGCCATTCCAATGAATCTAACACAATATGGCAAAACTAGCAACGACAATCAATAATCGGTAAATACAAGGGGGAATTAATATGGTTTATATAGTTGAACATAGTTTATTTTTCTTTTAAACCGAATAAAGAGAATTATTCAGTCGCTTCCCAATAGTAATTCCAGGTTGATTAACAGCGCATATAAATGATTTTATATTCACCAAATAACCATATTTCAAAGTCACAGGTCAGAGTGTCATTGTCAAACATTTCCGAAACTCAACGAGACACAAAATGCTAGTTCGGAGCAACCGCACTCGGTATTCTTGTTTTTTAGTACAGTCTGTATTCATTACTATTGTATCAATCCATATGGGTCACACAGACAAACTATGAAATGATCAAAAAAGCTGTCACTTTAATAACTGTCAGTAGCAATGAATTATAAACTATTGAAATCATTTACCTTGGACCTTAAGTTTTAAAATTGTCTTACACTTTTCTGTTCAGTGCATGCATTCTCTCTTGTTTGAGTTTAACTTTTTTCTACCATCACTGATATTATGAGTACTCATACTCATACTTATACTCTCTTACATTTCTCTTGACAATGCAGCAACTCGAACTGATGAATCCGTGTGCTAGGATTAAGTTGCTTATGCTGATGACCACAATGAAACAACTTACCTGATAAAGTTTATTCTCACATTGTGTAAGAAGTAATAGACCATCAAAAACCCCTTCTTGAGAAATTATTCCTGATCCAACTTCATAAGGTCCGAGGAATAATGTACCAATAACTGAGGCAGCTTCAACCTTACTTTCTATATAGTTATCAGCGAATAATTCACTAGAATAGAAACATTTTTCTCAACAAAATTACAGACATCTGTAAAAATACAAGTAATCGAACCACAGCTAATATGAATTAAAAGTTTCGCAAATAAGACATCAGTTAATTAGTTGATAAATGATTTGGCAATGAGTGGTTATTAATATCATGTTTGTTTAATCTTCAAGTGCTAACCAAATTCTATAAATCAGGCTGTAATATGGCAGTCTGAATGACTCGATATCATACCCACTAACAACAGCAAGCTAAAAAATATGACATTGATCATTATTCAGTGGTCAATCAGTTGTTGATTTTTAAGTCTTACAGGAGGTCACTGAGGTTCTAATAGCTTCGTGATAGTGTCTTATACTGTAAAGCTAAGCGATGGGTTTCAGATCCCACAAGAAGTACAAGTTCCTATCAGATTGCAGGTACATCCTACAAGTAAATGTCAACTATCATGAAACTTAAGTCCAAGAGTTTTCTATCGACTACCTTCAACTGCTTAACATCAATTAATATAACTCGATTTACTATGCGTGTTTATCTATTCGGCTTTTAAAAGTACACTTTATGCGTAAACGTTACTGGTATTACTATTAGGCTGTTCAAACCGAAGTAAGTTTGATGGGACTCGAACCCGGGACTTACTATCTACTGGAAGCCGAGTCCTTCAACTATTAAAGCACCGCTCAATAAAATTAGACAATACTGTACTAAACAGATCATTTATTTTTCTCATTATTTGTACAGTGTATTTACTTGATTCATGAGAGAAATAATGAAGGTCCCATCTTTAAAACTTTAGTATAAAAACAATAAAATTAAAGCTCAAATTAAAGATGAATTATGGTTGTTAGTTAGTATTTTTAAAAATACACGAAGGGATGTAAATAGATAATAAAGACAATTTTTATTCAAAACATTTAAGAAAAGACCGATATCTAATTTTCTTAACAAGTCAACCTTCATATTGAAGCTTCGATATCACAGGGAACTAACAAGTGATGTTCGAATGAACGTAGAGCTTTCACAATGGTTGGTAATGTTTCACAACTTACACGAAACCTCAAGTACACCAAATACTCAACACTAATGGAAATCAAAATGAGAAAAACAGTATACTGTGAATGCTTTAATTTAACATTATGACCAAAAATTATTGTGATCATGATCTTGATATTTTACTTCCCATTTAGTTTCTTAATACTGAATAGTTGACCAAAGTCTTAAGTGTCGCATCGTTCTGTACACATTCACAGCATCACATATTAATTATACATTCAGTAGTTCTCGTATTTCTACTATGTTTTCAAGCGCCCATCTAAACAAATTATACAAGGTAAACTTATTTCATTTTGTAAGCTTTATTTTTCACTTTCTTGCTTAAAATCATCCATTTAGTGAAATTTTCACTCGCATTCGCGCAATACCGAAATTCCTGGGTTCGAGTTGCACATGCGGAGTCATGGATGCACACGGCTGAGGAGTTCCATACTACGATGAAACGGCCGTCCAGTGTTTTCAAGTTTTTAATGGTTGTCTAACATTGATCGGTTTATAATTTCAATGAAAAAAATAAAATGATTAAAGTTAGAAATCCAGACCATTAAATATCAAGTTAATAGTTCGAAGGCAACGCACTGGTTGCCAGAGAAGAAAATTATGCATTCAACTTCTGTTGACGTTGCGAGTCCTGATAGTTTTATACTAGGAAGAAACAATTATCCGATGAGCGCTAGCTTCCAATGATTTCGCATTTGACAATATTAATTGACGATAAGACCATATATCAACTCAAACAAACTTCTCATCTAGATAAAAATGCTAGATATATGACTAATTCATAGAAATAATAAATAAAAGAGAATACGATAGTTTTACTTACATGATAAAATCTTTGCATATTTTAGTGTATTCATCTCGACTTTTGTCTGAAGTTAAATCATCCCATATCTTAGCTAATAAACAAGCTACAGTCATGCGTGTATCACTTGTAGTAGCTAAACGAATTCCATCTGGTGAATTTTGACATGATATTTCATGTTTATTAGAAATTAGTTCTTTATTGGTATGTTTATTAATACGAGATGAACGCCAATTTTTTAATGAAGTTATTCCACTTGCACAAGCTATCTCTAGTAAAGAATCGATAACACCTTGAGACAAAAAAATGAAGAGAAAAATTCCATAAACACAAATGCGTAAAATTACTTAGTGAACTATTCAAAGGTATAAAGAATCATGGATGAGTGATATCATTAAATGATTTGTTAAAAAGTGAAATCCTTTATTCAAGATTTGCCTTTTCAGAAAGAAAAGTGATATGAAACTAATATATAGGTTAAACTTGACATCTGTGAAGTTTAAACATTGGCAAAGAGGCTTACACAAGACTGTGAAAAGCTTAACTGCTGACTTATGCTGTGTAAAACACATTAGTATTGCTAATCTTAAAGTTCAATTTCAAAATTATGTTTATATGCGTTTATCTAGGCAAATTATAGTACATACATGCAATCTAACTAATATTGGTGTCTTGTTAAGAGATAAATTAAAGTATGGCTAAATAAACCAGATTCTTATCAAGTCATTCACACGCATACAGTTAAATAGACTTCATTAAACGAGCTGGATCACGAGGCCCTGAATGGTGGTCCCATAAATTATACTACTTTATATGACTTGAGATTTGTTTTAGAATCAAACCAACTAGTTAAATTCTGAGGTTTCGCCTTTGATCAGAAAGATTATAAGGAATAGTGACGTTGTCTTCCTACGTGTTACCTGTGTCGTTTCATTTTTTTCATTCTCTGAAGTGACATTACACTGTCTTATGTAACATCTCTTCATGCACAATGTTTGTGCTGAATGAATCGTTAAAATAAACCAATAGTAAATAGCACCAACATTTATCGGTGAAGTCAGTCATTTGACGATAGGACACGTGTCCGTGAATTTGTAGCACACTTGAGTCTCAATGTTTACTATGTGTGTAATATCTATCACTTTTCTGTTCCTTTAGTAAGTGATTGCTGCATATAAAAGCACAATTTCCACTGGGGATCTCATTTTAAACTCTATCTTTCACTTTATTTGCTTCTTTCATTCGATAATTTCGAATGTGCTACAGTAGCATGTTCACAAAAGATATATACAGATAGTAATAGATGATTAAAATTAAGTCCCTAAGGAAAATTGTACATCAGCACTGACACAGTAAATAAACGGAAAAATGATTGAAAGCACTTTATAGAGCACCTTTATTAAATGTCGTAAAAGGATAATTATCCTCACATGTTATTTGCTTATTAGGATACTACTTTTCAGCAATGACCTTTCTGTACTGAAACAATAAGCTAAATGTTTTTGACAAAGATATACTGCCTAGTCAGAAAAAAACATATTTTAACTAATAAATATTGTTGTTTAACCACAGTCATATAAGGTCAATTTAAGGTGAGATATTACGGAAAACTGCCAAAAGAAAATATCCAGAAGTACATACCTTCTATTTTAAAAATTTTCTGTGACCATCCAATACCTTTATCAGATGGTACATATCTAACCAATATTTCTAAAATATAGTCTCGAGTTTTGGGGCATAACCGATAGCTATTTACAGATCGAAGAAGACTTGTTAAAATTTCCTCCACTGGCTTTTCAACTGTAGAGTCTGTAAAATGTAAATATATTGTTAAACTAAAAATGTGAATGGTTCCAAGTTGTCATTTATATATACTGTCTGGATTATTAGGAAGGAAGACCAAATATATTACCACTGAGCCGAAGATCATTAAGACTTCTTGAAGCATAGACGTAGGTGACTACTTTCAGTTGCAAATTTACGTTAAAAGAACTGAATATATAACAAGAAACAACACTTTTAATCAAAATTCAATCATCTCAGTTACGTAACATTTCCCACTTCCTTGATCTATAGCAGGATATGAAGCACTTTTCAAGAATCCTTATTACTCTGAGTTAAAACACCCAATTTATCTATTAATGATTTAAGAAAACATTCATTGTACGTATAGGGTTGTGGAGAGTATTGAATTTCATTGAAATCATGGGCGATAACAGTAGGACTACCATTGAAAACGGGCCGTGTCGTCCTAGTGTGGGGCTTCTCAACAGTGCGCATTTAAGCCCCCCCTGCATATGAGGAGATTACACTCGAGACCTTCGGTCTCACGCGCGAGCACTTAACCTTTAAACCAGTGAGTTGGCGTCCAACAGTATTAATGTCTAACTCCAATCAACCCACGATATTGCGCAACCATCCTCCATTGTCTTCGGTGGGTAGCTGCCTCACAACCGACATGGTTTAGCTCCACTGGTCACGGTTTCTCGATTGGACTCCGGAAATTTCCTCTTGAAACTAGTCGTTAGTGAGTACATGATAATAGTGGTTCAAGTTAGACCGGCTCAAGGTTTCAATGAAAAAACAGCTATTATTATAACCAAATCTAGGCCAACGACATGCTCTTATCTCTTAACTTATATTTAAAAGAGAAATAGATATTCCGAAATACGCAACTGACAGCAAAACACATTAACCGTGTGTCTCATTTAAAACCAACCAATAAAAACTGTCGAATGTCAGCAGAACATTTATTGATTTTTATCACCAAAATATGCCTACATAATTAAGATTTTTTTTCTTCAAACCTAATAAGTAAAGACAAGTTTCAATACTAGATTTTGAGATACATATATCATGTGGCGATAAGAGATGCTACTTGATTACCCTGAGAAAAGTACACAGAGAAAAATATGAATCTGAGGTCTGGAAGTTAGGACCAGAATAGTCGAAACATCGATTAACAAAGGTAGAATTAGGTAGTATACATGAATAGTTTAATGAGTGATTATTAATGAATCGCTGAAACGTTACATTCATTAAACTATCTTATTTGCGCATATATATACTGGCGCATATATATTGGCGCTCTCTTGTACCAATATTCATGTGTGTTAATAATAATAATAATAATAATAATAATAATAATAATAATAATAATAATAATAATAATAATTTGCAATATAGAGTAACGTTCATCTTTCTGTTCAAATCACATAAATATAAAGCGAGTAAGCATTACTCCTGTATCTTATTAATTACTAGATTAACTTACCAATCTTGTATTTCGGGTAAGAACATGGCGCGACTTTTTTACTTTCAGTCTCCTCACGAACGCTTGCAGCTTCTTTAGCACAATGATAAGCTTTCAACTGAGTAAGTGATTCCAATATAGCATTTAAAAATCGACATCGTTCCAGCGAATGATCAGGATTACGTGAAAATATCCCGTTTACAAAATACTGTGGTGTAAGTTCATGTAAAACAGTAAGACCCTAAAGTAGAAAATGTTTAAAATTCAAAATAATAGCATAATCCATACAGTATACATATATTTTTAAGGTGTATCTAATTCTGCCCGTAGCCTTTCTGGGGTCAAAACCGGTCCCAGACCTGGATAAAGGAGGGTTGTAGATGGGGTTAGCGACCACTTAGTAGAGAAAGAACCTTGCCAAAAGAATGCTTTTATTTTATTTTATCTGAACACGTAAACATTGTTAAAAGCGAGCACCAAATATATATGCGTCACACAATAACAATGAAGCCAGTAGCAGTTATCGTTTGTATGCGTGAGGGCTAGGATACTGCCCGGGTGCCCTAACCGAGGTATGTGGTTGTATTAGGCCACACCCGGAGCCTTTGACCTGAAGGTCTAATCCACAAGATAGTGCATCAACTTTAGGAGATGCGGTCCCATGGTAACCGGTAACCAACACTAGACTCATACGCCCTTTGTTCCTTTATGACGCTGGAGCCCATGTGTACCTTTGGTTTGGAATCAGGGTTTTCCAACTCCTCTAGATGGATCCTCCATATCCATCAAACCGGTTAGAGCCGGACATTCGCTTTTCGTCCTGTCAACTTCGTAAACAGCACCCCCCACCGCGAGAAGGCAGTCAGTAGGACTTCTCTGACAGTGGCTGCATACGCGTGGTCATGTAAGAGCATTTTGAGAGGGAAAGCTTACTATAGATGCATTTGAGTTTGACTGCTTTTTCTAGACTACTAAGTGGATGACTCAAATGTAATTTTTGTTTGCTGTTTATCGGCTCTTGTATTTGATAATCAATAATAAAAATCATGTTTCATAAAACTAGTTACACAGATTTTCCACTTGAAGTCTTTTGAAACACTTTTTAGTGGATTATAAAGAACATTACATTATGCGACTAAACTTGTTGACAACCAAACGATGATAAGTACACAATAAACCTAGTGAGCATTCAATAATACCTAAATTTCCAGATAATTACTTATAACCATTGATGTTAAAGTATATGATAGACTCACCCGATCTCGCTCATTTTCCACAAGCTGAGCCAACAAACGATGACAAGCAATGGTCAACTTATGATTAAAGTTCCGGCAAACGGAATAAATCTTCGACAAACTGGGATTTGTCCAGATCAGTGAACTTGCAACTTTAGGGTTTTCTTTTATCAAGATAGATAAATTAACTATAGCCTTTAATGGTTAATGATACGATCGGAAGGAATTTTAATATACCTGTTCTATTTGATCGGCAGAGCTGGAGTTGTCATTTACGATGTCGAACATCTTGTTTAGTTTCCCTGTAAGGCTTTCAGATTCTGCGACGTACGAAGCAACTGAGGTTTCCAGTTTGTGAGTCAGATTCTGAGCTGCTTTATTCTTAGGGTCAACTAGAATAAGCCTTCTTCCAGTTTCTAAAGCCTCTTTTAACATTCCTTTACCTTCATATGCTTGTGCACAACGATAGAGCGCCTTTGGATCACCAGGAGAGATACTGAGAGCTAAATGCAATTAGCTAACTATTTGAAAGAAAACAAACCTTCCAGGGCAGCCGTCAGGGCGTCATTAAAGTTTCTCAGGTTTAAAAAACACTGGGCTTTGTTGCGTTGTAACACCAATTTCATACTCTTATCAACCCCACATAAACCAAGGCATTCGTCATATAAGCCAATAGCTTCTCGGTATAGCCCTTTTTTAAAAAGCTCATTAGCTTCAGTTTTTAATTCAATTGGATTTTTCATGTCAGCTTTTGGTATGAAATGATAACGAGAAAATGAAATGAAAATTAATAAAACGTGAACAAGACACGAACCGAAAGTTCAAAATGTACGTAACTGTCAGAGACAATGAAAGTTCAAAATATGGAAGCACTTATCCCCACTGTTTTAACTATCCCAATGTCCATCGTCTGTCTTATCAACTAAGCTAGATATTAGATACAGGATTGATAAGGGACTTAGAATGGTTGCTATTTAGCCTATAAGAGCATATATATCGAAGGAATAACGAAAAATGACGCATGTTAATTTCGATCATAAGTTCATCCATCAGACGTTAAAAGCCTACAGTTGTCTTTCATGCGCCTAGCTTTAAATTTAAACAGTAACTTTGTTAATGAAATAAGTCTGTTAGTCTATAGGTTAACACTATGAAACGTCTACATAATGGAGACATACGTTGGTGTTCTTAGAGTGTAAAATCCGTGTGTCACATTTAAAAATAAACAAGTGGAAAGATATGGAAACACTTGAGTAAACCTTATATGGGTGGGCCAGTAGCATTGAACTAGTAATCTGTGGCGCATAATAGAAAGAGGATACGAGCGTAAAGTTATTAAGTGCTTGTGATTACCTGCAATACAACTGTGCAAAAGAAACTCAAGAGGGATTACGTATGAACGAGCCTGTGAAATATCATTCTTCGAAATATGTCTGGAATATGAAGAATACTGTGTTTGCCACAGACAGATTTTGTGCTAAGTTCATGGATTGATTTTTTGAAAACAATCGCAAACTCCCAATTTCGGGACAAAATTGATCAGATTTAGGTAAATTTTGGGATAGTTCCATTGAAAATGTTCGGTAAATTTTTGGAAAATGCAACATCAACACAATGATGCTAAATTGTACACTTATAACCTAACTTTATCAAAAAAGCATACAAAAATAATTTGAAGCCAACCACTATAAATATGATATTTAGTCAAGCAAGAAACGATGACAATTAAAATGTTCAATAACCATTTTTAATACTTAATTATTATTATTATTAATGGCCTTATTCAATATTATATTTTGGTACAATATAGAATTCTCAGCACAAAGTATTTCAACAAGTTACTTACTGAACAACGAACAAAAAGGCAGTAGCAAATACAAAAAGAAATAAAAAAAGGTTTTTTAAAAAAAATAACCCCCCCAAAAAAACTGTACAAACTTTTTAAAATTAAAGACATGTTAAGAATGTAAGTTATTGACTAGGTTAATTCTAACAACCTGTTCGTCACAGAGTATATTTGCTAGGTAAGGTATTATAGAACTTTTATACTTTTCCTTGCGTGCATGGATTTTAATGTAATTACGTCTCGTTCTACCAGAAGATATACAAGGAGAAAGATAAGAGTGAAGGGGATGGCTAGTATCTGATGTATATCATATAATATTTCGGTCTCAGCCTATCTAATTACAGACTGCAACACGTAAACTGTTCGAAAGGTAATTTCCATATTCAGAAGCGACTATATATCTCCCTTGATTCATTCCATGACTTTATTGTTGACATCGGCAATATAAAGTCCATTATTTCATTGAAGAACTTAAAATCTTTTGGATTCTAACGTTGTAGTACGATCCACTGAAGTTTCTGTACTGGGGATTACTGGACACAATCTGCCCACACGAGGATGCTGTGAATTGATATTACAAGATGATAATTTTTCATACATGTTTTGTTAGTTTTTAGTTAGTGAAACAGGATAATCAATAATCGGTTCGAAAAATTTAAAAAGGCTTAGAGTTGTTTTTCTTAGTTTCTAGGGAAGATTTTAATGCTCTACCTAAAGATTTGATAGCTGCGTGTGCTAACTGCAGTGGAGCAATGAGAATTTAGCCCATAAAAATTAAAGCACAGGGTGATCTAGTTTTTTCTTAAAAGACGAATAATTTCTTACGGTCTTCGGGAAGCAGTACACAAAACATTGAACAATCTGTGTGCGAAAAGTATAATTGAATCGATCCAGCCTTTAGTATGGGGTACTCCTATTGTTACGCCATTAAAGCCTGTGTGCAAGACCCCTAGAATATGTGGTGACTATAGATTAACATCGGACTCTCGTTTGTTGTTTGAACGACGGTGGAAGCTGAAGATATTATTAATCAACTTCATGGTTCTAAGGTGCTCTCGAAAGTTGACTTCAAATTTCCTTAGATCAATCTTCATCTATTTTGACAATTAATACTCCTTTTGGTTTATTCAAACACAACTTTCATCTGGTTTAAGTTGCTCTCCAGCCATATTTCAGGAAGTGATGAATAATGTAGTCAGCGAACTTGAAGTTTATCAAGATGACCTTATTATCCATGGTTCTGATAAAGTAGCTCATGATCAAATACTTGTTTTATAGCATCGTTTAATTGGGAAGAATATCACGAAGAATCCAAGTAAGTGTCTATTTTGTGTATTTAGTTTTTAATGTCTTGGATAACTGGTTGACGGTAACGGTTTTAAACCATCCCGATCGAAGCTGCTACCTTGACGCGGTGGTCGGGCTTGCCTATCGTGATGACCCAACCGAGCTATATTGGCTGGGACATATGTTCCTGCAGGTTCTACCATGCCAGGCAGGTCGATTGGAGAACGGTAAGACTAAAAGCAGCAACTCGAGGTCTGAGGGCGAAGTCGTACTGCTGACTGTAGAGAGGTGTGACAGCAGTAAGGTGTTTCCCTCGGACAACCAGCATGACAGCGATGCTGCCTTCCCACAAGGAGGGATGGGGTTAGAAAAGGTCGACCCTAAAAATGCACACCTCACCTTACCTCACGGATTTCCGTCTCCGGCGGTAAGGCCCTTTGAAGAACGGAGCTAACACGTTAAAAACCTTCCACAAAAAGGCCGTGCGCGACCGGCCTCAAGCAGTTGTCCCTTGGGCTCTGCGGTCACGCTCCCAGGTCGTCAAGACCAACACTAATCCAATTTCCTTTTCAGGTTCCTCAAGAAATACCCTTCCACGGTGTGGGCAGCCGGGAAGTGACATCAGCCCTCATACCCGTAACGGCACAAGAGACCAAGGTGGTCACATTCAAATCCTTCCTACACCTCCTAATACCTCTCTTATCTCCCCGACTAACTCTCCTCACGTCTCTTTATCACCTCGCACCGCTAGGGCAAACGATTCGAGTACGTGGAACGCCATTCCTGGTGTCCTGAAACCACGCTCTAAACTACACGTAGGAGCTTTTAACGTACGAACACTTTGCCAAATAGGACAGCAGGCTTCATTAGCTAAAACTTTAGAATCCCGCGCCATCGATGTGTGCTGCGTCTCCGAAACGCGCATACAGGATCCGAGTAGCGTCATTCATTTGACCTCACCATACCAAAATAAAGAACCGACTCGATTTACGCTTCGTGTATCTGGAAGCCCTGATTCTGCTTCCCGTGGCCTCGCCGGCGTAGGTATAGCATTGAGTCCTAGGGCAGAACTAGCTCTCTTAGAGTGGATCCCAGTAGACAGTCGTTTGTGCGCTGTCCGACTGAACGGAACAGTAAGAATCCGGAAAGATAGGGACACTCGCCGTTGCCTCTTCGTCGTCTCTGCCTATTCTCCCACTGACTGCAGCTCAGATGATGTAAAAGATGAGTTTTACAGAAAGCTTTCGGACCTTCTCCGAAAAGCTAAGCGCTCGGATGTAATAATAGTGGCCGGTGACTTTAATGCTCAAGTAGGTAAACTAAGCGATAAGGAAAGACACCTAGGTGGATCCTATGGTGTCGTGGCTCAAAGAACAGATAATGGCGACCGTCTGTTGCATCTATACTCAGATAACCGCCTGTTCCTTGCAAATACTAACTTTAAGCATAAGGAAAAACATCTTTTAACATGGCGACCCCCTAATTCGTCCCAACGTTGGACCCAAATAGATCACATCGCTATCAGCCACCGATGGAGGGGCTCGATAGAAGACTGTCGCTCATTCTGGAGCACATGCCTAGATTCAGATCATGCTCTAGTGCGAGCGCGTATTTGCTTGCGTCTTACTGGACGTAAGAAAGACGCTGCAAGGGAACCTCTTAGGGGCCTACTTAATGATAGTCAAGCTAAGAGTATATTTCAGGAACAACTAGGAAAACAGTTAGGCAGCCATGTAAGTGATGCCCACCCCGATGCAGCATGGAATGATATCCGAAAAGCTGTGGAAACAGCAGTGATATCTGCTAGCAAGGTAAACCAGAAGGTTAGGGAGCAACACTGGACCTCAGCAGCATCTATCTCACTGATAGATGCTCGGAAACTCATTCCACCTGGCTCTGAACATAATGAAGAGCGGAGTCAGCTTAAGCGCAAGCTGACAAGAAGTCTACGCAATGATCGCGAACAGTGGTGGGTAGCGAAAGCAAGAGAGATGGAAAAGGCAGCGGCAATAGGTAATAGCAGACAACTGTTTAGACTCGTTAAGGAAACCGGAATTAGGAACCCGACCGTTAGCGAAACAATCTCCGAGAAAGATGGGCATATTATTCATTCTCAATCCAGGAGATTGGATCGATGGGCAGAACACTTTAGGGATCAGTTCAACTGGCCTTCAGCCACACTTCGGTTTCCCGCGATCTCCAGTCAACCTGCATGGGAAGTTAATGTAGGTCCTCCGTCCCTTTACGAAGTTGAAAAAGCCATAGGAAATCTGAAGCGAGGGAGAGCAGCAGGCCCTGACAGGTTTACTCCTGAGATTTTTAGGGATGGTGGTCCAGTATTAGCAATGAGATTAACCGAGGTCTTAGGTAGAGTTTGGGAACTGGACGTAATCCCATCTGACTGGTCTCAATCACTGATTGTGCCAGTCTATAAGAAAGGACAAAAGTCCTCTTGTGACAATCACAGAGGAATCAGTTTGACTAATATAGTGTCTAAAATATTAGCTTCAATAATACTTCGACGCCTAACTAAAGCTCGTGAAGAGCAGACTAGAGAAAACCAGGCTGGTTTTCGACCTGGACGTGGTTGTATAGATCAGATATTCACACTACGTCAGGTTCTAGAACACAGACACACATTCAGACGCCCCACAATGGTAGTATTTCTCGATCTTAAGGCAGCATTCGACTCTATTGATCGTGAGGTTCTATGGCAGTGTTTGTCACTGAAAGGAGTACCAAAGAAGTACATTAACCTTATACAGGCTCTCTACTCGAACACAACTGGTAGAGTGAGAGCTTATGGCGAACTGTCATCAGAATTGATTACCTCAAGTGGTGTTCGTCAGGGCTGTCCACTCTCCCCATTCTTGTTCAACTTTGTCATTGACGTACTTTTAGAGATAACACTCTCCTCATCTAAATTTCCAGGGGTTGAACTTCTACCAGGAGGTTCACTTGTTGACTTAGAATATGCAGATGACATAGTTTTATTTGGTGAAGACGCTGACAAAATGCAGAGTCTTCTGACCACTCTAAGCAACAATGCAAGCATGTTCGGGATGCGATTCTCTCCCTCGAAATGCAAAATGTTGCTTCAGGATTGGGTTACATCGACACCCGAACTAGTGATAGGGAGTGAAGTAGTTGAGTGTGTCGACCGCTTCACTTATCTTGGAAGTCTCATCAGCCCTTGTGGTCTGGTGTGTGACGAAATCTCAGCACGGATACAGAAGGCTCGACTAGCTTTTGCCAACTTGCGTCATTTATGGCGTAGGCGAGATATCCGTCTATCAACCAAAGGACGTGTTTAATGTGCAGCAGTTCGTTCCGTCCTACTTTATGGCAGTGAAACATGGCCGGTAAGAGTAGAGGATATCCGTAGGCTACTAGTATTTGATCATAGGTGTCTTCGAAACATTGCTCGTATATCATGGGACCATCGAGTAAGTAACACAGTTGTTAGGAAACGGGTACTAGGTAAGGATGGCAAATCAATTTATGACGTAGTGAAACTTCATCAGTTGAGGTGGCTGGGACACGTGTTACGTATGCCCAACGACCGACTGCCTCGACGTGCTATGTTCAGTGGTATAGGAGTAGGTTGGAAGAAAGCTAGGGGCGGCCAAACCAAAACATGGCACAAGTCCATGAAGTCACTGACAAATGAACTGAGTCATGTTGGTAGGTGTAGACTACCTGGTTGGGGACCGCGAGATGACAGCAACCGATGGTTAGAGACCCTGAATGACATGGCTCAAAATCGTTTGCAATGGCGCAGGTGCATCCACTTTTTGTGTTCTCCCAAATTCTAATCTTCTGAATTCTTCATGTCCCTTTTTTCCTCTTTCCAAATTTATTTCACTGTATTATACTCTTTAAATAACATCTCCAAACCCTAATCTTCCCGATTACTGCTTATACTCTTGCTACCTCTACAACTACGGGATTTGAATCGACAAGTGCATCTCTGTGCTAATGTGGTGTGGCAACTCGAACTGATGTACGTACGTACGAAGTTCTACGTTGTTACTGACTGACTGACTGTTTTAAACCATATATGAAGTGATGCTTTGTATACAAACTCAATGCTGTAAAAAAAAGTTGAAATTCTAACCTGAAACGTAGATTTCCTGCCTATTTTTCTAAGCGGGATGAGTTATTCACTACTCCTGATGGTATTTTGTGTTTAAATGATTGTGCGGTTATTCCTCCTACATTAAGTGAATCTGTCATTGAGGATCCTCATAGTGAACATATAGGAAAGGAAAGGCTCATATGTTGGTGGTTGGAGATAAATCCAGATGTCATACAGAAAGCAATCGTGGAAGATGTCGTAAGTCGAAAAATCATCCATGACCAGTATCGTATAAGGCCTGGCAGAGAATTCATGCAGACTATAGTGGTCCATTTCTCGGCAAATGCTGTGAACTTGTTGCCGTTGGTTCTTTTTCTGAGTGGCCTGAAGCTTTTTCCCAACTTCACCATATTGACTTAACAATTCAAACATTGAGAAACGTTTCTAGTCGGGAAGGGGTTCTTATGTTACTGGTGACTGATAATGGCCCTCATTTTGCTGCAGAGTCACTACCTGGTCGAATGGTATAGCGTGCAGACATCTGTTCACTGCTCATAGGCTCAATGCTAATACTAAAGAGAACATTTTAGATCATACAAGTCCATATCCAATACACAGTTGGACGGATAATGTCTGTCCAACTGTGTATTGGATCCGTTGAGGAGGGAATGCAGTGTGACGACTGTAAAAAGTGGTATCACAAAATGTGTACACGACTAAGTCCGACGGCTTACAAAAGATGCTCGAAGCCTAACTCGCATTGGCTTTGTATGTTCTGCTGTACGGATAAAAAGGTACTAATACAAGAGGCTATGGGCCTATTGGCTTCGGCCTGCAAGAAAAACGATGTCGGAAGCACGGATAACAGGAGCACTGACGATGAAGAATGTGTCAGTGTAGTAGGTGCTGCTACTGGACCCATTAAACACCTAACTGCGGTTGACGGGAACGTGAAATCTCCGTTGACATTAACGAGAAATTAAGTGTCGCTTGATAATGACATCGGCAGTCATACACCTCTAGTCGAAATAGAAGATCCGGATAAAACTGTCACCGTTCCACATAGTCCAGGTGTGGCTGTTCTGAGTGGTGACAAATGGACTTCGGTAAGAAGAAAAAAAATAAGAAAAAGGCTGTAGGCAAAACGCAGCTGGTCAGCAAGACATTGGAAGGGATGTTATCAGAAGAAACATCCTCACCGCGTGAAAAGACAGATCTCTTTGATAGATCAGTCATTTTTCATAAGATAAGAGAATCTTCAGATACTGAACCAAAGGCAAGATTTGAACATGATTTCAATCATATTAAGACATCATTAAGTAAACTACTCCCAGATACAGTTTCAGGAGTTAGTATTTGTAAGCTTTATAGAATAGGAAAAAAGGTGGATTCCGAAAGTCCTCAGAAAAACCGCCTCCTAAAGGTTACATTCAACACGGTGGAAGAAAGGAACCTGATTCTAAGTAATTCACGTAAACTGATTGGATCCGGAATATATGTCCGTGAGGACCTCAGCCTAGCTGATCGTATCAAGAGAAGAGCTGCAGCAGCGGAAATAAACGAGCGTCACCGAAACAGTGAAAGAAACCTCGTTCTTAAGGGTTTTCAGATTGTAAAAGTTCGGAGCAAAACGATCCCCAAGCCACTCTGGGTGGCAAGGGAAAGCTCTCCACAGACTTAAAAGTGTGCTACACAAATGCTCGCAGCCTACTAAATAAAATGGCGGAGCTGAAGTCAGTGGTGGATAAAGAAAAACCGGACGTTATCGCTGTCTCGGAAACTTGGTTAACGTCAGAAGTATTAGATAGTGAAATCCAATTGACTGGTTTCATAACCAGTAGGGCTGATAGATTAAACCGAAGGGGAGGCGAGGTTATTGTGTACAAGAAAAGTACCCTAACCATAAGATTAGCTGAGACAGTAGCACATGTTTCAGGGACATGTGAACTGGTGAGATGTAAGTTGAAATGTCGAAGGCAAGATATGGAAGTAGTTGTAGTTTATCGCAGTCCAGAAAGTGTAGCAGATGATTTTCTCCTAAGTAAACTTAAGTCCTGGTGTAACAACGGTAAAAGCCTTGTAGTAGGCGACTTTAATGCACCATATATAAACTGGGTTAACTTAGAAGTAGGGTCAGCCATATCGTCTTTCGACTCCAAACTGTTAGAAACCTCGATTGGACTAGCATTATTCCAACACATTAGAGATCCCACAAGATATGACTTAAGAAACTCTTCTTCTATTTTAGATTTAGTCTTCACGCACGGTGATGACGTTGGTCAAACGGCTTTTCTCCCACCACTTGGGAGAAGTGACCATGCAGTCATCTTATTCAAATTCATGGCTGAGATTGCTTGTCAAACAATTGCGCCGACCCGTCCTAACATATGGAAGGCAGATATGCAGGCAATTAACTCCGCAGCATCGGCTGAGAACTGGGAAATTGACTCAAAGGCATCAGTACAAGAGGCATGGACTCTATTCAGGCAGTTATACAGTCGGGTAACTCAACCATACATACCCTGGACTGTCCCAAAGAAAAAGAAGCACGGACATTACTGGATAGGGCGGGATATTCGACGCTTACTAAGACAAAAGAAGAAATGCTGGGATGTTGCCATCCGCCTTGGCACAGCAGGTACGATGGAACGCTACAGATCGATAAGAAACGAGTGTATAACTGAAATTCGTGAAGCCCGAAGAAAATATGAAATGCAGCTGGCAGAATCTGCACTCAAGCAGCCCTAGAGAATATTCTCACACATAAACTACGGAACAAGGATGCATCATTGGATTCCCAACCTAATTAAAGAAGGGAGTGAATCTGAAATGATAGAGGAAGATCAAGAAAAAGCTGAGGTTATAGCTGACTACTTTGGGGCAGTTTTCACTCAGGAACCTCCTCTAGAAAAAGAACCAGACCCAATTACAGAGTCAACAAACCAGCTGCTCACCGTGGACTTCGACCAAAACGATGTGCTTAAGGCTCTTAGCACCCTAAACATGGGGAAGTCAACAGGACCAGATGAACTACACCCTAAAATCTTGAGACATATTGCCCAATATATCGCAGCCCCACTGACTGTGATATTCAAAATGTCACTTGACCAAGGTGTGTTACCTATGGACTGGAAAGACGCAATCGTCACTCCCATATATAAAACAGGTCTACGACAAGTTCCATCAAATTACAGACCCGTAAGCCTCACCAGTGTTGTAATTAAAATACTGGAAAGAATAATCAAACGGACCATAACAGCATTTATGGAAACCAATAACTTGCTGAACATGGCTTTAGAAAGGGTCTATCCTGTACAACGAACCTCCTTATAGCTAGGGAGCTCTGGATTAATGCGCTAGACAACGGAAACTCAGTGGATGTTGTCTACATAGACTTCAGTAAGGCTTTTGACAAGGTGCCAACTAATAGACTGCTATTGAAGTTGGCAAACCTTGGTATTGCCGGACCTCTTTTAAAATGGATTAAGGATTTCCTAGTAGGTCGTAGGCAAAAAGTAAGAATAAATTCCAAGTGCTCCATCTGGAGACCAGTACTTAGTGGAGTACCTCAAGGTTCCGTCTTAGGTCCTTTACTTTTTATAATGTACGTTAATGATCTTACAAGTATAGTACAATTTCCAATGTTATTATATGCTGATGATGTAAAAAATTTGGCGAGTAATAACTGGAGACTAAGACGCATTTACTCTTCAGGCGGACTTAAATAATATGATAAACTGGTCTAAAGAGTGGCTAATGCCTATCAACTCGGAAAAGTGTGTCTACATGCACTTGGGGGATTCAAAGGTTAATACGTACAACATAGGGGATGTGTCATTACCCGTAGTCCGGTCTCATAAGGACCTAGGGTGACAGTGAGCAATGATCTTAAGACGACGGCCCATTGCCGGGAGGTCGCAGTTAAGGGGTTTCGAACCCTCTGGGCTTTAAAAAGGACATTCACTAAGCTTGATACTACCATGTTCACCACATTATACACATCCTTAGTAAGAACTAAGTTAGAGAACTGTGTTCAGGCTGCAAGCCCCTGTTTAAAAGGGGACTCAGACATACTAGAAAAGGTACAGAGGGCAGCTACGCGTGCAATTCCGGAACTCTGGGGTTTATCATATAAAGAGCGGCTTGAAAAACTGAACCTCTTTACTCTGTCCTATCGCAGACTAAGGGGAGATCTAATATTGATGTACAGAATACTGAGAAATGATTTCGGACCTAACTTATTCCCTCTTTCTTCCCACTAGATCGAGACACCTCAGAGGACATAGCAGGCGAGTAGAAAAGCCAAGAACGAACAAAATACCCGTGGCATACAGGTTTTCACACCGAGTCATCAATACTTGGAACCTGCTGCCTGAAGCAGTGGTGTCCGCACCTTCAATTGACTCTTTTAAAAGAAGACTGGACACTCACAGAAGCATACTAGAAAAGGAATAAGAGGCCGTGGGCCTTCTGTCCTTACTACACAAATCTGGATCTGAATCTGAGCATGTGACGAACCCAAGGAGAAGCACAATAAACTACAGAGATTTATGTTCCTACTTAGGCTATGGTGGTCGTGATATTTTTAAGAACTAATGAATATTTTGTACTTTACTTTTCCCCTCATTATGAATTTCAAATACAATACGTTCATCTATTTCTACCTGTCTCAAATAGCACTATTATGGACATTCTTAGCTAGCCCATCCACTCTATTACTTCTAACTATCATGATTCGACAACTGATAAAAGTAAATAAAAGGATAGTTAGAAGGTCTAGACTTCAGACCTCAGAGAAGCAACCAAACGACAAACAAATGTCAAAGTTAATCAAATTGCTGCCACTCTCAAGGTTGTACAGGCCTTCCAATATCCAACGTCTAATATCCTTGTCACGAGCTTAATTTCTTTAGCTCTTGTATTTTGCTGTTGTGTCACAGCTTCAGACTTCTATTAATGCTCAAAGTATGGTAATTCCTAAATCGCTAATAAAGGAGAAATAAAGGTGAACAAGGGAGGACAAAAGGTATTGTAGCGGTAAATAAATCCCCAAACTAAATAGCTCTGTAAGTTTTCGACATTGGATGCTGACCATATGTTTTAGTGGACTCATCTAGCTGAAGGCGCTCGGTCAGGCATCCACACGAGATCACGTGTGATAACGCCGTGCTCAACATCAACCGCAATCGCTAGGCAGATTAGATCAGAGAATTCCGATATATTGGTCATCGCCAAATATACTCTTCCGATCTCCTCGACTCTGTCTTTTGATTTCTCTGAGTGGGAACGAGATACATTAGAAGGTTTTACTGGTAGAAGCGTTGTCAAACACTGAATACCTGTGACACCATCAGTATATTACTTTGGGAAATAAAGGGTAAATGATGGAGAAAAGAGCCAGAATGACTATCTTTTCGCCTGTCATGATGAAACAATGAGAATGTTTCCATTATTGTCGCTCTCTGTTAGGAACGTCGCTGAAATGTCTACTTTTCGCCTAAATGCACACCAAATAGTCTACTACTCGTCTGAACACTAGCCTACCTTTAATTCACGTTTGATCACACGCCTTAGTGTCCACACTTTGCCTAACCTTTATTTGCATGACAATATATACGACGAATGTAATCGACTACGTTAAAAAATGGTACATTGCTAAGGGTATTTATTGACAAGGAAAAACACCCTACTGTACAATGATATTAATAAAAGACAGATGCTGGAGCATCAATCGTTATGTATTTTCACCGTAAGTTATAAGTCCTCATGTTATTTACGAAGATCTGCAGAAGGAATCACAGGTAGTGGGTTATTATTAAGCAATGTATCGTTATTAATAAGTGCAGAAGAAAGCGAACAGGCTTACACAACACACTCCATATGTTCAGAAGTTTCAGACGCAAGTCTAAAATTCAACATATGGTAAGAAAAAACTTTACTAATAGTTAAGTTAAAAATAAACAACATTTCAATGATGAAGTCTTTCTTTGGCTGCGATGTCACTATTACAAATCAAAATAATCTCCCTATGAATTCCGAAATTTAAAAAACGCAAAAATCTACAACGACGTCAGACTGCCGTAACTTGTTAGACAACTGTCAACCTGAAGCATGAATTACGACTAAGTTCGCTAATACTAAACACTCTGTTTATAGAACAGCAGTGAATAATTATAACTTCAAATCAGTACATACATATTCTTATTTTCTTCGACAATGCTTTTGCATTTCGTCTTTCATGAAGTGAAAATACCCTTGCTTTATGATGTCATACGGTCTGGCGAGTCGTTTTTCGTTGACGTATGGAGACAAGAACCGAGATGTTGGTGCGCTTGATGATTGGAAAAAACTCTAATTTCGTATACAGTCGTAAAACCTGCACATCTGAAATGCTGTTTTCGATAAAGTGTCAAGTGATGTGAAATGGCTGACAACTTTATGTTTCAGGACCTATGACAAATACAACACATAAACGTTTCTGGATTATCATCCACTGGGCACTGTCCTGTAGGTGAATACACACAAGGTCCACTGAATAGAGACAAAGTTCCTTACCCACAATTCACTGTTTAGTTCGAAAAGTACGAATAAAGGTAGAAACAGAGTTGATAATTGGCGAGAATGTGAGAAATTAACAATATGTTTGATAATGATAACTGTAGGGAAGTTATGATATATAGATCAGATAAAGCTATTCCAAGGTGGTGATGGTAATGCATTTTTGAGTACGTGATTGCTTAGTATTCTCTTTCAGCTATACACTGAAGGGTCTGTAGTCACTTCGGCCTACAAATAAGTTCAAATAGAGGTAACTCCAAATGAGAAAAAGTGGGTGCGTACCTAACTGTTTGCTCTTTGATTTGCAAT